GTGTGGGGACATCAGTGAAGAGTGTGTGGAAAAACATAATGCATAAATCCAAACACCAAAGACAGCAACAAACCAAGAACCTGCTGACTGGAAGGAAAGAAGAGGGAGATTGATCACAAATCAGCCATTTATAAAGACCAGCAATCAGGACACACCAGGTGTAGCCCATCTAATGTCCACACCCTCTGCTACTCTGTCTACTGTGAAGAAGGGAAAAAGTCCCAGACCAACCAGAGGGGGAGGGGTCATCACAGCAAACATAAATACATAGCTCAGTTTTTATGTATTTACGTTTATTATTATTTATTTTTATTTATTAAGTAATCAGGGTTCTTTAGATGCACATTGGATGATGGGTAGTTGATCTAAACCTATTTATAACAAAATATTTTTTTTATCCTCATTATGGTGCTGGAAGCCTCAGTGTGCTATTTTAAAACAGCACAGGTTCGGTTTTATGTGATTTTAGTTATATTTGGAGCTGCAAATTATAGAATGTCCTTTCCCTAAAATTGTGGCTTTCTTTTACCTTACTAAACCATGATTTATTCTTCTTCTTTTCATGCTCAGTTTTCATTGCTGGTTTTAGTTCACTCTTTGAGTGTGCTTTGAAGAAATAACTGGCCTGATAAATTGCCTGATGTGGTTCAAGACTCCACTGTCTACCCACCACAAAAGACACAAGAGGGCAGCAAATCACACAAAATGCAACAGAATCATACAATGTGAGAGCAAATCCATGTGCTCTCTGTGTATTTGTTGGTATGAATGCGTTTAGTGTGTACTGATGGCGCCCTCTGCTGTATTCATATTGTCAATACACACAGTAATGTGAAGGAGTGACTGTAATTTGTTATGGAAGTTTGTGTAATAATTGTATGTGTGTTTTCATATTTGGACAAAAAGACATATTGCTCAATGCATTATATGCAGTATATCTATCTATCTATTAAGCTGACAGTGACATGGATGACTGACAATCTTTAGAGCCTGCTTTCTGTATGTCTCTCTCTCTCACTCTCTCTCATTTCCTCCCTTGCTTTACAGGCTGTCGCTACTCTCTTCCTCTCTCTTCCTCCTGTCTGTGCTGTCCTCATCCTCTGATGGACCAACATTTTGAGTCAGTGTGTAAACATAATTGACAGAATGTGAGGTTGTATTTATTTGTAAATGTGTTACAATTTCAGGCAAACAACCCAAAGATTAGGTGTGCCAAGTCCTTAAGTCTCATTCAAAAACACGATTCCTATTTTCAGGTTGTATTATGTTCCATTTCAGCCAACAGAGCCTCATAAATGTTACACACTGGACATTTAAGGCTGCATCCCAACAGTCAAGCTGAAATATACATTTTATAATTAAGACTTATTTGAAAATCTCAACTATACAATATAAAGCAACATACAAGCATCGATTTAAAGGAAAATATTAGTATTATTAGAATCAGATTTATTAGCCAGTTTGGTTTCCAGTTGCTCTTAATGTACTAACACAGAACAAGGGTTATGGGTAGTTGATTTAAACCTATTTATAAAAAATATTCTTTATCCTCATTATGGTGCTATAAGGCATTTCCTTTCCTTAAGTTTGTGGCTTTCTTTGACCTTGATGCTTTTTTCATTGCTGGTTTTAGTTCACTCTTACTATTGTGTGCTTTGAAGACATAACTGGCCTGATAAATTGCCTGATGTGGTTCAAGACTGGCCTCCATTGGCTTCCCACCTCAAAAGACACAAGAGGGCAGCAAATCACACAAAATGCAACAGATCAATGTGAAGTAGTGGCTGTAATTTGGTATGGAAGTTTGTGTCATAATGACTATTACCTGTTTTTCATATTTGGACAAAAATAAATATTGCACAATGGATCAAGCTGCCAGTGACATGGATGACTCAGAGCCTGCTTTCTGTTTGTTATTACACATTACATTACACATTTTAAATATGAGTTCATTACTTTTTTGGATTATAGTGTTCCTTTAATTTGCTGTAGCAGCCTATTTTAAAATGTTATGATGATTCTGATTTAAATTGGAATTATTGCATGTCTGCAGAGCGCTGAGAATGAGATAATATGGGTTAGTTAATATATAATCCTGTGCATGACCTGTAGCCAACTAGAGTTTCCTATCTATTATGGTCTTTAATCAGTTAAACTTGTTAATGCTTGAATGGAAGAAGTTTAGAATTTCCTTTATTTTTCATACAAACAGTATTACTACAAACAGTCCACTTAGATTATGTAAAGTTTGATCTCAAGAAACTCAAAATTCAGGTTGTAAGAAGTATTTTCATGTCTTATTTATTTCAGATGACTCAGTGCCTCACAAACTTCTTATTTCATGCCTTGACAGTAAAACAACCTTGTGACAATAACATACATCAACATCGTGACAGCAAACTTAACTGTTAAAATATTAGATTAAGTTAAACTATTTTGCATGTGCAAAGAATGCAGTTATATTATTAACTGTATATCAGCTGCCAAACAGTCATGGTGTGTAGTTGTACTGTTAACTTATTCTTGCCAACATATAGGAATTGTGTAAACACACATCATTTAATTAGCTAAACACTTAGAACAGAGCAACAGTAGATGAGCTCTAAATACAAGTCCTAAAAAAGAACATAACTGACAAACACTGGTCGTTTATTAACTGTTGGAGACATATTATTATAGAGCAGTATAGAGGTAATTTTGCAATAATAAAACATTAATAGGTTATGTGCTCAGAATGACTTAAAAATTATTAATTTGTAATTTGTACAATAATTAGTCAAATGTCAATTACTGTTACACATTGTTTTCATATGCATTATTTGAAAATTGTAAGATCATGAACATAAAGCCAAAGTATGTAACAAAGAATGTATTTATAAGGTAGCAAGACAAATAAAACACTGCCTGTGAGAGAAGAAAATCTAATTTTTACTTGTTGCATAAAGGCACTGACATTGAATTAAGATGGAAAGATTTTATTCTTAAAAAAGTACACTATTTTTTCTTGTATTTCTTTTGTTTTCAGTCCATAGATGATTGGATTCAATGTTGGGGGGAAAACTAATGTTGTCACCCCTATGAATTTCCTTAAATGTGGTGAAATGTTCTTTATTCTGTATGATATGATGGTGAAAAGTCCCAGACACTCCAACAGTAGAAAAACTATTAGATGTGTAGCACATGTCTGCAGAGCTTTGGCTTTTGTGTCTGATCGTTTTGACCTGAAGCATGCAACAAGGATCTGGAGATATGTATACAAAACGATCCCATTGGCCATCACTTGTGTAAGAGCAACTAACAAAAGCCCATAAATGTTATTGATACTTGTGTCGACACTGTCACAGACCAGAGACAGCAAAGTTGGATTATCACAGTAGAGATGCGTCAATTCCGATTGACAGCGGGGTAAACGCAACAGCAGAACAAAAAGCACAGCTATTATAACTAAACTACTCATCCACACAACTGTTATTATTTTCATGATGTGAGCATTAGTCATAATCGTGTTGTATTTCAAAGGACAACAGATGGCAATGTATCTATCATATGCCATAGCACTCAGAATGAACACTGTACCTGCTGCATAGATGTGGATAAAAAAAGCTTGGGCAACACAGGCTGAGTGGTGCATTGTCCTGCTGTTTGTCAGTATTTCATGAATGACCTGAAGGAAGAGTGATGAGGCGCCTATAAGGTCATTGATAGGAAGGTTCAGCAGAATTAGATACATGGGCTGATGCAGAGATTTGTTCAGTACAATGGTGAGGATTAGAACAGAGTTGCAGAAAAGAATGATCATGTAGCTGAGAGTTGCGAAAAGAAATGAAGGAAAGACAGTTTCAGGTGGTAGGTTAAAGCGATTTAGCACTAAAAAAGATGATGTGTTGTACAGGTGGTCCATTTTTTATACTCTTCCTCCTTTGAAAATCAAAAAAAGATCATTAATAATTTCATTACAATGAAGCATAACTATTTCATACACAAGAACAATTTAGCAAAAAATATGAGAGGACATGATAAGGTAAACAAATAATATAAAGAGATAGTGGTGTTATTTTTATAATCAGGTAATTTCACTGCTGAGGACAGAACTTACCAAATTAAAGCCTTAACTTCAGTCCACTTAACTTCAGTCCACATAAACTTCAGTTAAACATGATACATCATAGATTATATCCTGTACCTAAATAACAAGTTATAGTCTTTTGGATTTACAGTTTTACACTGAAAGTCCAGCAACAAAATACACAGAGAGGACAGACAGAAGACAAGCTGAATAAATATTGCAATAAGACATGTACTGGATCATCAGTGCTAGCAATACTGGTAAGATGTTCAGAAGGATTAGCAGTTTTATAGGAGTGATTGTTGCTGAACACCAGAGGGCTCCCAGGAGTCTTCTGGTTTACCATAAAGTTTATCTTTAGATTGTTATGACAGTCACGTAAGCAGTGTCTCACAAGGGTGCTTTGGAAGAATATGAAATGGGGTATTTGACACCCCAACACAACCCATACTTTAATTTAAGGTAATAATGAGTGATTTGACACAGTCAGATTAGCAAATTCTGAGTACTTTCTGATACTTTAGTAAAGATAAATTATGCTTGTTTACTAATGAGTGAGGGCCTTACTGTGTGGCCAAACCTTAGAGTGCAGCAGAGAGAGAAATGGACGCTGCGGTCAGTTATGACTGCCACTCCGATAGTAGGCATATGCTGACGTCTGACCAGTGCTTTCATGGGTGGCGAAACAGTGTCAGCTTGTGGGAAGAGGAGGCCATGTTCTCCTGGATTACTAAGGGGCTCTATGTTCGAAAACATACAACTTTGCAAGAGGATGCTGCAGAGGGCTTGGACAGGAGTGAGTGAGATGTAGTGGTGGGGCAAAGAGCTGTCTGAGAGGTGGTTTCTTGGAGTTCACCATAACAGGGGTTCTAATGGGCCAACATATACAGTAAGAAATATGATACCTGCAAGGTCCCAACAGACAGATCCAGAGCCCACATGCTTCAATTCAGCAAATGTGGGGAACCCAAAGTCATTCACACTGACTCAGTCTTATGTGTTTGCAGCCATGTGTGCAAATGGATTCGCACAAGAACAACATCAGACATTTCCACACTTGGCAATAAATTTATTTAATGTATTAGGAAATTACAGACATTTTACCATAGATACATACTAGAAAGCTTTTATTTAATTTAAAGTAAAGTAAAGGAAAATAATTATACAGTATTTAGATTTCCACATAATTTCCATTGTAAAGAAAAATAAATCCTTGTTTTTTCATTTCCACATCAATAGCAGATATTATAGACCACATTATAATATATATATATATATAGTATTTATTTAGAAAGGGAGGGAGAGGGGCCACCAGCTAGAATTGAACCAGGGACAGTTGTGACATGTGTCTACCAAGGCACAATATTGTAATTCCAATTTCATTCTAAACATATTTTAACATAAATGTGAACATTACATCATTTTTTCATTTCATTTCATATCACAAAATATAAATGAATAAATGTGTAATTTGCTATTTATTTACTGTCCATAGTGAAAAAAAACATGCAAAAAATATTTTTGTATATAGAGTATTTTTGCTCAAAGGATTTAATTATACTGGATTTGGAAGTTGACATGAGTTTAGTTGCCCATATGAATGTAAAATGTCTTATAGGAAAGCCAAAACTGAAAACTGGTTATAACTTTTATGAATCAAAATGTCTTTTTAGCAACATTTTTATGCTCTTCTTGAGTTCTTTAGTTTTCAGTCCATATATAACCGGGTCCAAAAAGAGATGGAAAATTAAAACTGACACACCAAAAGCCCTTCTCAGAAATCTGACCCAAACCCTAACCCTATGCACATATTTAAAAATGTTAGTGTTTCATTTCAACATTGTTTATTCCTCTTCTAGTGTGCATACAGTATTAGAAAATATCAAATAACCTTTCATATCATCATATCATATTTGTCACACTTAAATGTTTCAGAGCAAACAAATTTTATCATTAGACAAAGATAAAGAGGGTGGCACAACCAGCTATTACATTTAGGGGGCAATTACTTTTTCACATAGGGCCAGATAGATTTGGATAGTTTTTTTCCATTAATACATGAAATCATCATTTAAAAACTGCATTTTGTATTTACCCAGGTTGTCCTTTTGTTTGATGATCTGAAACATTTAAGTGTGACAAATATGCAAAAAAAAAAAGTTTTTTCACAGCACTGTATATATATATATATTTATATTCCCCACATCATTTCCATTGTAAAGGAATGGTAATCTTTGTGATTCATTTCCACATCAGTACCTCATATTATAATCCACATTAGAAAATATTAAATATCGCAATAGCATTGCATTACAAAGTATTTGGACAGTGGCACAACTTTTTCGTATTTTGGCTCTATACATCACCACAATGGGTTTGAAATTATATGTGTTTCAGATTTCTCTTTAATTTAAGGGTATTGACAGCCATACATCAACATGAATGTAAACATTGGATCATTTAAAAATTC